TGTGTTTATTCCTCAGAATCAGAATAAGAGCAAATAATTATAAAATTTCGTTTGGTGTGCTTCCATCTGAGCCTTTGAAAACGGCTTATTGTACGTCTGCATCAAAGTATCTTCACCACTGGCCAACTAAGTATTTCTAATGCTACTCCTGTCTTACAACAAAATTGATTCAAATATACAGTTTAACTTTCAACACATTACTTTAAATAGTTGAATAAGTGTTTGGGTGGCACAAGCTTGCTTGCTCGTAAAATGTACTTGGCTGTGTTTATTGCTCAAAAGCTAAATAGGAGCAAATAGTTCTCAAGATTTTGTTTCGTGTGCTTTCATCTGAACCTTTGAAAACTTCTTGTTGTACGCATTCATATATCACATCATTCCAACTCAACAGCTAATGGTCACGATACTCATGTCTTGCAAACAAGAGTTGCTCAAGTTGTTGTTTTGAGCTTCCATGCATTACTTGAAAAGGTTGGCAAGAGTGTTTAGTGGCACAAGTTTTCCTCTTCGTGATACTTGGCTGGGCTATCACAGAGAAGGTGTACATTAGCAAATATTTCTCCACGATTTGTTTTGTGCGCTTTTGACTGAACCTTTCAAAACGGCTTGTTGTATGCTTGCATGTATAGCATCATCCCCATTGGTCAGCTATTTGTAACAGTACTCTTGTCTTGCAAATAAAAGGGGCTCAATTTTTCATTTTGAGTTTCCATGTATTGCTTAAAATGGTTCATGAGAGTGTTTTTGTGGCACAAGAATGCTTGTCTGTGATACTTGGCTGTGTTTATCACTCAGAAGGTGGACAAGAGAAAATAATTCTCCACGCTTTCTTTTGTGCGCTTCCATCTGAACCTTTCAAAACGTCTTGTTATATGCTTGCATGTACAGCATCATGCCGATTGGACAGCTATTTGCAACGGTACTCATGTCTTGCAAACAAAAGGGGCTCAATTTTTCATTTTGAGTTTCCACGTATTGCTTTAAATGGTTGCATGAGAGTGTTTTTGTGGCACAAGAATGCTTGTCTGTGATACTTGGCAGTGTTTATCACTCAGAAGGTGGACAAGAGGAAATAATTCTCCACGCTTTGTTTTGTGCGCTTCTATCTGAACCTTTCAAAACGGCTTGTTGTATGCTTGCATGTACAGCATCATGCCGATTGGACAGCTATTTGCAACGGTACTCATGTCTTGCAAACAAAAGGGGCTCAATTTTTCATTTTGAGTTTCCACGTATTGCTTGAAATGGTTCATGAGAGTGTTTTTGTGGCACAAGAATGCTTGTCTGTGATACTTGGCTGTGTTTATCACTCAGAAGGTGGACAAGAGGAAATAATTCTCCACGCTTTGTTTTGTGCGCTTCTATCTGAACCTTTCAAAACGTCTTGTTATATGCTTGCATGTACAGCATCATGCCCATTGGACAGCTATTCGCAATGGTACTCATGTCTTGCAAACAAAAGGGGCTCAATTTTTCATTTTGAGTTTCCAGTATTGCTTGAAATGGTTCATGAGAGTGTTTTTGTGGCACAAGAATGCTTGTCTGTGATACTTGGCTGTGTTTATCACTCAGAAGGTGGACAAGAGGAAATAATTCTCCACGCTTTGTTTTGTGCGCTTCCATCTGAACCTTTCAAAACGTCTTGTTATATGCTTGCATGTACAGCATCATGCCCATTGGACAGTTTTTTGCAATGGTACTCATGTCTTGCAAACAAAAGGGGCTCAATTTTTCATTTTGAGTTTCCACGTATTGCTTGAAATGGTTCATGAGAGTGTTTTTGTGGCACAAGAATGCTTGTCTGTGATACTAGGCTGTGTTTATCACTCAGAATGTGGACAAGAGGAAATAATTCTCCACGCTTTGTTTTGTGCGCTTCCATCTGAACCTTTCGAAACGTCTTGTTATATGCTTGCATGTACAGCATCATGCCCATCGGACAGCTATTCGCAATGGTACTCATGTCTTGCAAACAAAAGAGGCTCAATTTTTCATTTTGAGTTTCCACGTATTGCTTTAAATGGTTCATGAGAATGTTATTGTGGCACGAGAATTCTTGTCTGTGATACTTGGCTGTGTCTATCACTGAGAAGGTGGACAAGAGGAAATAATTTTCCACACTTTGTTTTGTGTGCTTCTATCTGAACCCTTGAAAACAGCTTGTTGTACGGATTCATGTACCGCATCATCCCAACTGAACAGCTAATGGTCACGGTACTTATGTCTTGCAAAGAAGAGTGGCTCAAGTTGTTGTTTTGAGCTTCCACTCATTGCTTAAAATAGTTGACAAGAGTGTTTAGTGGCACAAACTTTCTTGTTCCTGACGCATGGCCGTGCTATCACAGAGAAGGTGCACAATAGCAAATAATGCTCCACGCTTTGCTTTGTGCACAAGATGCTCATGTGCTGTGACATGAGTATCGTTACAAATAGCTGTCCAATGGGGATGATGCTGTACACGTAAGCGTGCAACAAGCCATTTTCAATGGTTCAGATGGAAGTGCACAAAACATAGCGTGGAGAATCATATGCTATTGTGCGCCTTCTCTGTGATAGCCCAGCCAAGTATCAGGAAGAAGAAAGCTTGTGCCACCAAACACACTCATAAACCATTCAAAGCAATGCATGGAAGCTCAAAACAACGACTTGAGCCACTTTTGTTTGCAAGACATGAGTATTTTGACCATTAGCTCTTCAGTTCGAATGATGTGGTGCACGAATTTGCATTGTTTGAAATATGTTATCTGAGTAATTGTGTGACACAAACTTGCGCATTTTCTGCTTGCCTGTTTTGAGTTTTCTTTAAAGACCTAGAAAACGTCATTTGAAGACATCTCTCTAATTTTATTGAGGGACGTAATCTTGCAGTGCCATGCAAGCATGGTTTAAAGAAAACGTTGGTGTAGTGTAACTGCAGAGAGAATTCATTCTTCAAAGAATTGAAGAGAAGTGTCTAGTGTTAGCCCTCTTTATTTACTTTAGGGAAGTATTACACTCATAAAACAAAACTAAGAAATACTTTGTGTCAAGCTTGAATTTCCGTAATATGATGGCAATTGAGTCTTATAACTTGTGAATTCTTATGCGTCACTTTGACATCAGCATGTTAATATTGATTAGCACTCATGAGAAACACTGGATCCTACGCCAGCTAGGAGTCACATAGAGAAGCATACTGGTTTGTTTCTTGTTTAACTTATTATTAACAAGACTGTTAGTATATATTACTCATTTTGTTTTGCACACTTATGCATGGGTGTCAGTAAGGGGAAAAAATTGGGTAGTTGTCCCCCTCAAGCCTCACTAGCACTTGCACCCACCCAAGCTATGGCAGTGCTTTCGCCCTACACCAGCCATTTTCACCCCTCAAGAGAGAATCCTGCCGATGACCATGCACTTATGGCACCGATAATACAGTTGTGTGAGAGAGCTGATCTCAAGGCGTGTGCTCCTCGGTCATGCGGCTTCGCTGTCTGCGTTGGAGGCGTAACCGATAGATCGAAGACGAGAGAGTAAGCGCGGAGTCTGTAGATATCAAGAGCGACTGCAGCCTCGTTTGCTTCCTCAGTCACACAGGCTGTCTCCCCACTCCTCGCTTTCGTTCCTTATGAATGAAGTTTGTGCGCATGCAGTGTGGCAGGCTTCGATTGTCCTAAAGTGGCTGTAGGCGTTCCGCTTAGTTCGCGGCTCCTTGAATGCACATAGTGGTGTGCGTGAAGCTTGAGCACTGGCAGTTTTAGTGGCAACATGTAGCGAATTAATGTTATGTTTCTACAACTGCGGAGTGCATGTGGCTGCAGTTAGCATTGCTTCAACAAGAAGCTGCGCGTTGAATGTGCGTTAAGTAATATCGTAATCTTCGTAGAATTTTTGGTTAGTAAAAATGGAGCGTGACTGGAAAAAGTGCACTAGAAATTGTCGTGGCTAATACGAGAGGGATCACTTTTTGGCCACGGGGTGAAGCATGCGCTATGACAGGAATCAGTGACTTGCAGCTCTAGAAACATAAAAAATGTGCTAGCCATGTAAAATTCTAGGAGTTTGGTTAACATAAAAGTTGCTGAGGGATGTGCAGGCCAGTCTCGTGCGTTAAGCTGTCTCACGTTTTAATTGTTCTTCCTACTAGCAGCACTTTAAAGAAGCTCCACCTTATTCAAAACAGAGCTTTACGCATAATTTACAACTTAGCCAAAGATAATTCTCCACAGCTCAGCTGTTTTTACACTATTACTTACGCTGAATTCTGGCATATGCATATACAAGATAAAGAATATATTAATGCTTACAGATACAGTAAGGTCAGCTGAATACTCATCTATGTAACACTTACGGTTCGTGAAAAAATTCTAAACAACACCACACACTAATTACAGGGCCCAGACGAGAATATCTCTACCATTACTCTGTGTATTGAACAAAAAATAGTCAACATCTCGCAGATCTGCGCTTTATGCTTTCGTCGTTAATCTAGATTAACACGGACGAATTTTATTTTTATGTGTTTTTTTTCTGTTGGTCTCCTCGAAGTTGGGTGTACTGGTCGCGTTCTTTTGGCGATTATGTATGCTTATGTACGCCAGTTAACGTATGCCGTCACGGCATGCTGCTGAACAATAATCAGCTGGGAAGCTTAGTGAAGTTCAAAAAAGCTTTTTTTTTTCCACATGCTCTCCGCTGTAGGTAGGTCCAGTTTGTTACTGCGTCGATGAGAATCAACGGGATCATCGCAGAATGCTTAACTGCCATTTGCATTTTTGCGCGACCGGATGTTTACGAGCTATAAGTCAACACCACCTGACAGCCGCACTACGGAAGCCAAAATACAAATTTTTGGTAGCGTGAAAAAAAAATCTATTGAGACCAATCAAACTTACTACATGCTTTTTTATGCGCGCAAAAAAACGTGAGTTTATGAATTTGAAATTGTGTCAATGAGTTTTCTCTTTCTCGCCAGCTTCGAGTTTTTTTTTTTCATTGTAACTGCGGGAGAGTCGGTTAACGACAAGCGGCCAAGACAAGCCCATTTCGGAGTCATTCGTCGTCAATATGGCGCTTGCAGGTTGTGCGAAGGGGTTTGTTGCTTGTCTTGTGCTACCGGATTTAAACGTTTCCTGTGTGCAGCCTCTATGCCTCTTCGAACTGTGCGGCAGGTGTGAAACAGATGTGGTTCAGTAAAACCGTGAGAAGTCATTTGAAATGCGGGGTGCACCAAAAGTCACGTTCGTCATTTGCGGAGACGGTTACCGCGCCGTTGTGGACAACCTCGAGAAGTGCTTCATATCGCTGAGCGTTGCCGATATGGCAAAAAAGGCCATTATCGGCAAAGTGAGCCGGGTAAGGACATCAAGAAGAGCTGCTATTACAGGGATGTCCACCTTCTTTGAGGTGAGTGTCATTTTATTTTCCATGACGTTTTCGCTGGCGTGCGTTTAGGCGAACAAAGGAGGGCACAACGAAAACATGTTTGAGTGCGTGTGTGTTTTATTTTTTTATGTGGCACATTTTATCCGTGTGTTGTGTATGTTGGCATGCTGCACCTGATACCGCGCGCTCGTGTCCCATGGGATCTTTCGATCGCAATCATGACCGATCTGGATCAAAATGTATTATGTGCGGCTGCACAGTGACCTAAGTTGTAGCTGGCACTGTTGATCGCGATCAAAAACCGCATTCGGGTCGGCCCTGATGGGGCTGGAAATGTCCGGTGTGACACTGGTAGAGTTATTAATATATGAACAAGTCGACGTCGCTATTCCTGATGGCAAACCTGCACTACATTGCATTTATTTATTGTTCGCATGTAATAGTCACACATTCTACGTTTTCATTTGTGTGGTTATTTATAGTAGCCTGCTCTCCAACTTTATGTGTTCTCTGATTAAACTATTTTTACTGACCTCGTGCAGATGGAGAAAAAAACGACTCGCCGTGCAACACAATCTTTTCTACCAGAGTGACTGTGAAAAGAACGTCAGAACTTGGAAGGTAAATGTGGTTTAATAGTAAAACTTATTTTAACAACATATACAAAATGCTAACTTCCAATGTCCTGGTTGCTTTCACAAGCCGCACGTCTATACAATAGTCGCTCATTCATGTACATTTGTGCTAATTGGCTAGGCAAGGGTCACTCATTCTATGTTGCAATTTTTTTTTCAAGTTCTGTTCGGTCGTGAAGTAGTAACCAGAGCGAAAATGAAGACTGCTTAATTTGAAACGTTTAGGTACATATACCAGCTACCTCTGTACATATTTGCCATTTTGATTCAGACATTTGACAGTGTGTAGCACCAACTCATTAATTTATTTATTCACAATACTACAGCCTAGCATAGCCCAAACTGCAGTGGAATTACAAGAAAGGAGAATGGTACAGAAATAATTAGTAACAATACTGGCACCACACGTAAATACGTCAGTTTTGCCGGGATGATTCTTACAAAGAAAAAGAACAGCACTAATAGTTAGCAACCACACTTTTGACTTAGTAATGTAAGAGTCTCAGTGATTTAGTATTCAGCACAACAAATGTTGATCAAGGGCTTCATCAGAACTGTCTGCCTTGCAACTTCCTTTACTCTCCGCCTAGAAGTTCAGTAAGCGAGTCTGCATCAAGCAGCAGAGCGAAGAACAGGACTGGGTGAAAGCACAGGCCTCCTAGCCAGCATTTCATGTTAGCAAAAATATGGCAATCAGAGATAGCTAAGTTGAGTCTGTATGGTGTTGGGCGACTGAACTTCCCGCTGCTTCCTCTGTGGCCCCTTGTTGTCATGAAAAAAAAAGACAGTGTCTTATGTCTCTCTTTGCTTATTCTTAATTGCGCTCTGTAGACATTTGAGAGTTAGACCTACAATACTGCAGTGAGGGTCATGCCATGTCCCATGAATAAGTGAGGCATAAACTTGCAAAGGCTCATGGGATTCATGCCATCTGCACCAGCTACCATTTCAATGGCTCTCTGCGTGCTGCATCACTCCTTGAGTATTGGCGTTTATCCGTGTCACTCGCTTTCTTCATGGTAACCCGACGCATATGCTGCAAATTTCTAGCACACAATAGCATGGCCGCACCTACGACTGACCACAAAAGAGAAGCATGTGCTGTGATTGCCAAATAATATTTTCATTTGAAGTGGCAAACAACCGACTGTATGTGCTATCACAATTATGTGTTTTCTTTTAAGTGGCGTGGCCTTGGTTGTCACGTCTTTCAACTAATTTTACACTTGCATAATAATGCACATCACCGACTAATGTGCTTATTTTTGCGTGTTTGCCTCAGTGAGGGCGCTCAGCTGTTTTTGCATTTGCAATTGAAACACTCTGTCGCTGTCTCAGATTGTTGGATATATAGTACCTTGTATCAACGTTCACCATGTGCAATCAGTATCATATGTTACTAAAACTACGTGTTCAGCGGTGACGGCCTGGTAAAATGTTCAAATGTTCATGAATGACATCGACTTTTATTTAGTAAAGTCGAGCTTCTTAGGCGTTTCGGCATTGCATCGTTTTTGTGAACAAGCTGGTATAGGCGATGCTCACCTCACAGTCAGGCACCGTGTTTGTTAAGCCTTGTTACCTGTCCTGCTCGCATGTGCACCAGATCAGGTATGAATAAATTTACTACGTAATGAATGCTTGGAGGAACAGTTGAAATCACTAGCAACACATTGTATACCTGTTCTATATATAGAATAGTGGAGCGCCCTTTCTTGTCTACATAGCATTACTGACACATCATTTTTTCCAACTGGTACGAAGTCGTCGCCTTCTTAACCACTACTAATTGTGTATACATCACTGCAATTGGTGCCGTGGATTCCACGGTGTCACCCCTGGCATGATATCGTGCGGCTGTTGGCTGCTCTGTCTTGCTGTTTTCTGTATCAAGCTCAGAGCTGGCTGCACGTTGCATAGCGGCCGTGCATTTTAAAACAAATGCCGTATGCTTGTCGTAGCTGTGTAGATAGTGATTGTGGTTGTGCTGATGAAAACTACACATCCAAACGACTTTTGTACTTCAGTCTTGGCGCCTTAGATTCTCTTTCGACGTGCCAATATGTTGATGGCACGTAGTCAACCTGCCATGGATCTTTGCTTGGAGCGCCTGTACATAAATACCGAATGTGTCAAACGAAACCATCCATGCAGGATTGTCGATAAATATTACTCACCTTACGCTAGACATATACCACTCACCATGTCTCTCCACAAAATTTCCTTCAATTTTCTATCTTTGTTCCAAGGGAATCTGAACATTTTTTCCCGTTTGGCACTATTTTCGACAGCTGCACAGCCGACTATGATTGTGCAAATGACTAGATTTCAACACAATTGAAAGAAAAGCCCTGTCTACGTCTCCAAAAGCGTGGCCAGCGAAACAGCGTGTCACGAATATCTTTAACTAGGAGCCGATGCAGATGGCAAATCTCATGAGTCTTTGTGGGTTTAAGCCTCACCTATTTTATCAAGGAAACACCACCATTTATCTCCCCAAACACAGCAGCCATGCACTTCTTCTTGGAGAAGGTTCACTTGAATTTCTTTGCGCTCATCGGAATGCTTCTGTTTGTATTGCACCTTCAGTTCTGGAGTACATCATGGTAGTGCCAGAGAAATGTCAAAATGGCACCCGTTTATCGTTTTGTTTTCATGACCAGTCAGCATTTTAGGAACTGACTGCACGCAGTTTGCAGCACTAGAGTCTCACTCTGTGTCCAACCATGGTATACCATCTGTGCTGTATTGAGCTGACTGCAATATTTTGGGAAATGAATTACTCAGCCCAAAAATTCTGACCCCATGATTTTACCGAATTATCTGATCCGTTCAGTCAACAAAATCATAGTTTTACACTTGCTTCATTCCCAGTCAGTTTGCATTGTAAATATTGTACATCATGCTTCTAATTTCCTACACTATTGCAGTGCCTTGCTGTCATGTATTGAAAGTGGTGCTGTACACATTGCTCAATATTCGATGAATTTCAGCTGCACTGCACTGCTCAGCACCCTGAAATTGAATTCTAGCACACATTTCACACTTATCCGAGGCATGCTTACATGGGTTTTGCGTCAAGAACTGAAAGCTGTGACCTCATAAGATAGACAGGCACACTAAAGAAATCGTACAACACATATGCGTTGCATCATGAAATTTTAATTGCTTTTTATTCGGAGGCCAGTTTGACTTTGAAAAATATAGGCATTGTATTTTATGAGCTGAAATGTATCTCCGGAGTGTCAACATGCCAAAGCAAGCTTCTCAAGTTATACTCATGCTGACTCTATGTTTGTTACGTTCATGAAGCAGTTAATTTTGTAATGATTTGCATAAATTCATGTGGCTAAATCACTGCATAAACATCAGTCTGCAAATATGATGTGCAATTATTGCATAGTTATAAATTAAGGAGCACATGCAGCTGTTGCGGTCAGCAACACAGCAGACAGTATGATATTCAAGTGAATATTCATGGCTACCTATGAAGTAATATATGACTTAGTAAGGTAGTTACTGCAACTCTAGTCTTGAGGTACGTGTAACTGGAAAGTACAGACTTTGTAGTATGTTGTGTTTATCGAAAAATTCTCAGCAAGTGCTCCTGGAGAGTGAATGATAATTCGACAAGGTTTGAAGAGTAGGCTCTTGCTCAGTCATCGGTCAATATTTAACGTGGAAGTGGAAGAATCACTGAGAATAAAAAATGCACATCTGTGCGTCTACTTAAGCACTTTCTTGAATGCCCATGCCTACACGGCTTTATTTCGCATTCACTCGGGAAATGAAAACAGTGAAGATGGTGGTAGAGGAGAAGAGGCTACTTATTTAGCACCTCTATTTAGCAAGAAAGTAGGGAGGTGCTTGCTCTGTTAGGAGTGCTTACTCTGGATTTTATGGCATTTAGAGCGTCTCTACTGAGTGGTAAAATTTTGGGTTTTATATACACTCCCAAGGCCCCCCCCCACCCCTTCAAAAAAAAAGTCGCAGAAGGCAGCGATTCAAGAAAGAAAAAGAGCCCTGTAGGATGGCTCTGGCAATTAAAAGCTTGTTTGATTGAGCCTCCTCCAGAAAGAGAAAATTTTTACAATGGAACGAGTGGATTGAGCAACAAATAGAGGCTTTGGAGGAAAGGAATGGCAGACTTCAGAACCCCTCTCAGCCATAGGTCGGCAAACTCCCTCACAAGCCGAGTCACTCAAACTCGGATTGGGCCATAAATGAGAATCTGAATGAGCTATATGTGCAAATACATTTTGCGATTGAGTGAGCTTCACTTTTTTTTTTGGTCGGCCTGTGCTTTCAACACACCTTCGACAATTTAAAGATAGAATTTTCGGTGAGCCTGTAGTTCGCGCTCTCTTCTTTTTCATTCATCTATAGTTAACACTGGCCCATCTTCCCTATGTAGGTATGGCCGAAGCTAAAAGGAACATGTTACTTTACGCCTGTATGGTAATCAACAAAATTTTTGGTGTGTTTACGAAACAAATGTGAGTCCAGCTTCTTGTCCCCTCTCGATGTTTTTCAGCATGACATTATATCTCGCCTAGTACCTAGTCTATTGGTGGCCATAATGCATTTATGTTGTATCTGTTTATCACTCTCTTTAGCCCCTGAGCTATGTTGTGAATGTAGGTACTACCCACGACACACCCTTTACATGCTACGCTTCTCGCTTATTATGTTCACAGAAGTCCAACATAAATCTCTACCAACAAGCTCAGCTGTCCATTACTCTAAGTTGCAAATTTCTATAATGTAGTGAACATTCTTTTTCATGATTTCTTAATGCCTATTATCTGTCACCCCTTAGGTTTCAGTGATATCCTCCAGGTCAGGCACCTTCGGCAGAAACACTGCAGCTGCTGCTACCACCACCACGACCTATATTTCACTTCAGCCATTGCTGCATCACAACCAGTATTACAACTTCTGAGCCGCTACCACAGTCCTTCCCAATGATGCCTCACCTTGACAGGGCTTCACATGCTTCAAGAAGAAGCTGTCAGGCAAGTGTGTACTGTTAAGAAATTTAGCTTTCAATAGCACTGATGTTTTCAATGGGCAGAATAATTGACAAGTCTGCCAACTTCATGCTTCTTGAACAGGGTTGAAACTACGTGTGTCTGTCAGTGTAGGGAACCAAGTTTATGTGAATTTCGAAGTAGCTTATTTTTATTTTATTTTACAATATTGCAGGCCCCTTCTCGGGCCAATGCAGGAATGGGTTGAACTTGAATACACAAAAATGTGAGGAAAATAAATCGAACTTATGTACAAAGCAAGTAAGAGCAAGAAATATGCACATTGTATAGTATACAGGTGTTCACATAAGTTCTGAATTCTGTTCATAAATTTGACAGAAGAGCAGTTCACAATATCAGCGGGCAGCATATTCCCTTGCTACAGAACTAAATAATATTTGTAAGGGTTATGTTATTAATTTTGTGTATGAAGGAAGCAGGGTAAGCAAACGTTAGAAGAAAGTACTTTTTCATTGTTTACTAGATATGAAAGCAGATTCTTTTTCTACAATTTTCGTGTACCGTGCAATCCTGAGCGAGTGCTCCCACTATGGTGAAGGTGACGAGAATTGGAGGGGGGGGGGGGTTCTTGCTCGGTCTTGCATCAAAAAATCAAGATTATGGTGAAAAAGTCGCATGTGCTTCCAACGAAACTGATACACTTTAATAAATATGCATGAATTCACTATGATTCTGCAACCTCGTTGCGCTTCTAAATAAAGGAAGTGAAGGAAACTACAGAAATGGCAAAAAGGCGGGGGGGGGGGGAGTGCTTGCTCAGTTGTTCGTACATGTTTTAAATATCTTGAAAGAGAGAGGATGGAACTTGCTTATGTGGGGGCGCTTGCTTGAGATATTACAGTATTGTCCTCATCCTGCGTATCTTTTTTTAATCAACTGAAAAAAGCGACCTGAAAGCAAATGGCCCTTTTATATATGGTATATTTGTAGCTTATTTTCTTTCTAAATTGACGAAAAGCATGAAGTTTAGCATTTTTTAGCAAAAAGAAAAGGCTGTCCAACTAGTGTTGTTTAAGCATTTACCGAAGTCAGACACAGTGAAATAGATAAGGTGGCACAGTAAAAAAAATAAGTCAGCACAGAAAAAAAATGTGCAATTTTTATTGCATAAGTAGAACTCCATCTTCTCGAAATGGCATTTTTTGTTATGTCAGTATGATAATTTTAAAATGGCAAAAGATGTCATGCTGATTGTTTGTGCACGTACTCAAGCAACACATGGTGGTGTACTGAACTGAACTTGATCCTTTAGAATAACTTTCATTTGATCTTAAAGAAAGTGTGCAAAATGTCCAAAATCATGTACAGGAGCAAAAAAATGCAATTTTTTAAATAAAGTAAACCATACTTTGGTTCGGTCAATAGAACGCAAGGCTCTGAACAAATTAGTATAAACTTCTGGTTGCTATCATTACATGCTCAAAAATGATTACAATAGGGTAAAAAATACGTGGAAGTCTGGGACTTGCCGGTCTTCTCTAATCAACACAGTGCTCTGAAGTAAGGCAGTGTTTACATACACCCGCAGAGCTGTCATATTCAATAATGGCAAAGTAGATACATAGAGCAGAAAAGTTATTGTCGCTACCCCTTAATTGGAGGCAGTGACCGGGTAGACTCCAATGGCTGACTTAACATCCCCCAAAATGCACTGCTAAAGCTTGAACAGTTTAACATCAGGCCCTTTTAGCAGGGGTGCAGCAGCTGTGCCAATCGCGCCAATTTGATACAATTCCCGATTGTTGCACCGAGCTGGGCCAAACCCGTGAAATTGTTAAAATTGCACCACGCTGCGCCAAAATGCCCAGCCAGCCTCAATTTTTTTTCAGGTGTACTAATTGCGGTGAGCAATGCAGGCCATGTCGGCCACCTGCAGCTTTGCACCATCACTAAAAGCGTGCAAACCCGAAGTAAACTGCCTAGAATATACCTAAAATAATCTAGCCACCCACCCTATGCTCGTGAGACGTGATCGACCTGATAAAGTAACAACACTGCATGTCTATCGGTCCGCTGACCACAACAGATACGTATCGGCGGGATGGCAGAACTTTAAAACAAAAATGTGTTGCACCAACCCTTCGCGGAAAATGTAAGTTCTCTTGCCAGAAACGCGGATATGGCTTAATAAGGCTTCGACGTGCTGTAAATGCCGGTGTTGATTACCTTAGCAGTGGCAAATAACAAATTTTGGCTGGAAGCTGCGTCCTTGCCACGGTCTTGGCGATAGATATCTAGTACCGTCGCCGGGGCAACGGGCGTGCGCCGTTGTTACTTTATCTGGTCAAACTCGTCTTGCAAGGTAGCCGAAGCGGCACATAGCCCCATGCTGAAAAGGGTGGGTGGGAGGGGGGTGGTGAGCGGTAAGAAAATTTGTTGACTTTCGTTCTAAAGCTGCTTGAGTCACCTTTGCCGCACTAGACCGGTGCCTGCGAAAAAGCGTGTTGAGATTTACAAGGGGCTGTTCGCGATACTGGGACACTTCACATCTTGCTCAGTTACTCATGCGTTTGTACACCATTAAATTCTGAGTACCAGTATAATTACTGACGTATAAATAAGCTACTGTCAATCATTTGAAGCAGTGTGTGACATTTATGCTTCTCTACAGAAATAAACTAAATTGTGCGCCAATTTTTTTTTCACCACCTCTACTTCTCGTTTTTACGAATCTTCCAAATTTCAAGCTCACAATATCGGCAGATTGATATTGAAATTCTCAGAGTTTGTCAATTGATTTAACAGGTGCAGTAAACGCTAATATGGACTTTATCATTGGTTCCTTAGCGAGGTGGTTCAAAATACTACCTTCATTGAAATAGTAGTAAATAGTATGCTCACACTACATAATTTAGGTTATGTTGAATTGTTTATACATGTTTTTTCTCTAAATGTAAGCCACCTTTTTTTATAGTGCTCCAAATTCGCTATGTCATGATAAAAATGCATGTTCTTTTTTTCCATAACCAGCTCCGAACTTGGAATTTAGTGCTCCAAAAGTAACATTTTGCTGCTCCAAAAATTGCTCCAAATGCTATTTCGGCTGTTGTACCCCTGTTTTAGCACGCCAGCAAATGCTGGTTGGGGTCCAAAGATAAAGTCTTAGCTCAGAGTTTTGTTACAAGCACGAAGCAATGAAGGAAATAGGAGCAAATGGGAATGCTATACAAAGATTAGCACTTAACTCTTCAGATTCCATTTCACAAAACGAAACACTGGTTAAAGTCAATGTCAGTGCTGCTGAGAGTGAGTGGGTTTTTGTGCTGTCGGTAGTCTCAACGAATAGAAAGTGCTGAGAGCACACCACGTAAACAAGCCGTGTAGTGATATTTATCCAAATAGCACGCACCAGCACTCATAACTGCGCCCTTATGTTCAATGGTAGCAGCTGTTGAAAGTGTCCATATAATTGCCATTGCAATATTTTATTCTAAATGAATGGCTAGTTAAATCACTGGACAACTCAAGTGGGTTTAACAATGATGGTGAGACAATCATCAAGTATTACTCATCGCAAGCATGAAACTCAGGCACTCCAGAATATTCAATCCTTCAAGCAATGATTTCATCACCAGCCCGACTAGTCCCTCCATGTAGACTGCAGTATTGACCAGGAGCTCCCCTGCTGCAGTCGGTGAATACTTGTTACTCCTCAGTGTCGAGACTCTCTTTCAAAACACCTCCTCAGTGACTGCACAGCATCATCTATAAAATCTTCATCATAGACCGACTGACTGATGCCCTATTAAGGTGCTATTAGGAGCTGTTTTGTATGCAAAACATCACACTGCATTGTTTCAAATTTTTTCTGGTCAGTGTTTTTCTCGGCAGCGATGTAAGATGATCGATGGTACTACTTAATAATGTAACACTTCTCTGGACAACCGAAGAACTCTTCTATATCATAACACATTGCCTTACCAGCTGAACCACTTCTGCATTTACCCTGTCTCTGCGTGCTTATATTGAGCAGCACCCTGCATAGGTTAAAAAGAAATCTGCGAATCATTCACACTCACTCATGAAATATATTTTTTCCTTAGGCCTTACTAGTGGACTCAGACTCGCTGCTCATTGCAAGTCTGACAAGTCTGGTGAGTAGACTTCCGAGTCCGTTAAAATATGATGATCTTTTCCACACATGATTTCAATGCTCCTTAACAGCAATGTGTTGCATAATTGGTGCTCCAGTTGATGATCTTTTCCACACATGGTTTCAATGCTCCTTAACAGCAATGTGTTGCATAATTGGTGCTCCAGTTACAACCTTTCAATCTCAGACCTTTATATAGTGACTGCAACCCAGTAAGGTAATCTCTATTCAAAGAGATGGCACCTCAGATATTTTATGAGAATGTCCCGGGAAGAAATTCACAGGAGGGCATGTCAAGGAACCTCGACTCCCCCCCCCCCCTCTTGTAGTTCTGGCCTCTCAGCTATAAATATTGAGTCGGTGCACAAATGCTTGTGCATTGAGATATGTGTGAGCTGTGAAAACTGAGAGCTCAAGGCGCGATTTCATGTGGAGGGAGGCCGCTACACTGCCACGAGACACTGCAAGGTGCCAGCTGGAGCACCTATTATGCAATATATTGCTTTTATGGAGCACTGAAACTATAGGTGAAAAAGATAATCATATTTTAACGGACTCGTAAGTTGACTCACCAGACTTGGTCATTGGTCACTAACAGCACAAAAACCCTTCACTCTTGGGAGCACTCACATTTGCTTTAACCAGCGTTTTGTTTTGTAGAGTTAAGTGAGATTGAATCCAAAAGAGGTTACTGCTAATCTCGATTCTCAATTGCTATGATTCTTGAACAAGGGTGCCAATAGTTGCCATTTGCACCCTGGTTCGAGGAATATTGACATGACTCATCCATGCATAGCAAAACAAAGGCAAAGCCTTGAAATGAATAAGTTTCTTGCATGCTTTTTTCATAGCACTGTAGCAGCTTCTACATGACATTGTGTCCTGAGTTCTCATTTTTTGGGGGGCTTTTGCACCAGCATTTGGTGTGAAGCATGCTGGCTATTGCGCGGTGCCTTCTTTCAGAGGAGGGTGCAGGAGCATGCATGCTTCAGAGAAACAGCTGTTGATAGCTCGTGTAGCTGCAAAGGGCTCATTAGAGGCTATGCTTGGGGGCTTCTTTTTTAATGCTGTTTAAGTGCTCATTTGTGTCAGCTGTGATTGCATGCTTGTGTGGAAGCACCTTATTTTATGGCTGACTTAACTATCCACTTTTTTTGCTTTTTGGGGGGCAGCACCCAGGGGGGGGGGACTGCCGCTTACAGTTCTGGCCCTCATAAATAACAAATTGGGCAGCTTTGCTTTTTTTAATTTTTGTTTGCTGTTGATGCATTAATACTCATCTCTACCAGTTCCACGACATTCGTCATACAGCCTGAATATGCCATTTATACTCCTGCAGCTTGCACTTATCTTTTTTATATCCATGTACTGTATTTGCTCACATAATAATTGTATTTTCTTCATTTTTGGACAATTTACTGATATAAAGGTGTGGTTTGTACAGTGGGTAAAGTTTTGGAACAGGTCGACTAAATTTAAAACTGGAAGCTGGAATTGTAATGACTACGTTGTGCCATAACAAAACCATATCAGGTTGAAGAGTTCCTACCTTCAAGTTACAGGCACATGTTCGCATTGCCTTGTAATGAAGAAGCCCTGAAAAGCCTTTCCAAGTAATCATCAAATGTCTTCATTAGAGAAACTTAATTCATCCTAAATCGACTGTTGCAAAAAATTTTGCAATCTGCGAAATACTAGCGGAGCTACAGGAATTCGTCACATACTTTACGTGCTTTCTTTCACCTTTCGTTCGAGTGAGCTCACTCAAAGCCACGCAGGAGGGGATGACTGGGGTACCAGAAGCTATGCCTATTTATCAACGTGCGTCCTGAAGTTGAGCTCTTTTATCCCCCCCCCCTTTTTTTTCTTCAAACATGGGGCTTCTTCTCAGTGTAATCACGAACATGTGCACGGGCATAAGGCAGCCTCCGGTTGCGGTTGTACAAATTGCACTTGAAGCGCAGTCAGTTGAATTTGGAGCCTTATTTGTTTAGGGGAAACAGCGTTTTTCAGGTGACTGATAATAAATTATGAATTACAGGCTGCGTGTTGCCCCATCATGTCTGTCTCACATGCTCTCAGGTGCCTCGACTACCCTCGGCAGCATTTTCTGACCATGCTCGAAAAGGGTTGCTGGGCCACTTAAACTGCTTCATGGAGAGTGTTGTGTATACTATACTGAATTTGTGAAAGAAATGCCCATTTTAGCATGCCTAATTCCTGTATATCTGCCATCTGCTACACTTTATAAGAACAATTTGAAAAAGATTTAAGTGATGACAGTAGATGATCGAGGCCCTTAAATTGCTGGACATTAAATGTTACCGTCAAGGCACTCAAAGAACAGGAGGAAAAGGTCGCTCTGGTGCAAGTGTGCCCTTAATTGGCTATGCTTTATATGGTTTTGCCTGCTTCAACATCATCAAAGTGCTTGAAGAACAAGAAGAATAATTCTCTGTGGCAGGAGTGTGCGATAAAATGCTCAACTAATTCTGGTTTTCCCACTTCTCTTGAACTTTATAGTATGTGTGCCAAAGTGAATTCTAATATTGAAGTGTGTGTGCAAATTGAATATTTTTCTGAAATTTCTCGAATACTTCTAGAATTTTTTCAAATACTTCATGTGAAATTCTAGAAAAAGTTGGAGAGGCTTCCAAAGTTTATTCTTATGAGATGAAAGTCTTCCTTTTCGCAAAATTGATAAGTGTTGGTAGGGTAGCGTTTCGTAGTTGCCTTATAAAGAATAAGGCAATGCACAATTGAATTTATATATGCACAGATGTGTTCATATGCACGATTTCATGCAGCCAAAGAGTTGATCAAATTTCAGGTCAAAAAGCAGTATAAGTAAGCCCTTGTCTCTGCCACACCTATCTTCTCCTTGTTAGAATCAGCCTTTTCTAGAGTCAGTACATTTGCGACCGTAGCAGAGCCAGAAATGCAGCTTTCATGCAATACGAGTGTGATGAGGTGAAACATATTAAAAATTTGGAGGGTCCCTTTCAGTCAGACATTGACCCTATTTTTTGTCTCTGGTAAGTTATAATAGTTCAAATAGCAAAATTTGCCGTACGAATTGAATCAAACAGCAAATATTATTCAAAAGATATTCAAAAATATGAATATTTGCGTACCCCTACTTATTGTTTACTTCAAATTTTTACCCCATTTTTCGTTCTCAGTAGAAAAGACATGTGCCCTTCTAAATGCTGTGCTAAGGCCACAGATCACAACTCATGCACGTGCCTAGAGCTCCACGCATATTCTTCTGTGAGACCTTCTATTTAGCTGTTTGAATTCAAAATTGTGAAACCTCGTGGATCAATTTTCACTATTGAAACTTCATTTTTTGAAGTAGTTATGCTAGTAAGTTTTCAGTGTTAAAGCAACAATTTGAGGGTGAGTGTAACGATGTTAACTCCCACACACAAGAAAGAAGGTTCACAGAGACATTTTTCCCCTGCAGGTTCATTTGAGAGGCAGAAGAAGGAGCAGTGGGCTTGGCTGCGGTCGTAATGCAAGGAGGCTACAAAGCTCCTGTGGAGTGTCCTTCAGCTTCAGAACAAGAGCCTCATAGTAGCCCGGCATTGGAGTATTTGTGCATCAAGAGGACAAACAAGTGCCCCTGAACGGGGCTCTGACAGCGAGAAATTTGGAGGTTGTGGCTAGTGATTATTGCTTAAAGAGGTACTGACGCAAATTTTTGTCTTGCAATATTAACATTGTTGACAGCCTATTAGTCACAATGTGGTGGATTGCTTGCTGCAGCATGGGACAGATGGACAATTGCTGTCTGTTTATTACAGACTAGTTTTAGCTTGGCACAGCTCTAAGAACACGAGCCACGGAATGCAACAAATGCCAACTAGTGTGCTAAATGGTACACATAAAACGGGGCTTCCAGGTGTAAGTAGCACTTGCACAGCAGGTCTATCAATATTGAAAGTGGACGGTGACAACCGACACAGTAATCAAGGCGCTGGGGCAAACAGCTCCCGCTCGGCGCTTCTGGCTTAAGAGATGGCCCACCATGGCGTATTGTTCTTCTTCCTTCTTACACACAGAACACTGACGCACTTCTGTGCTGCCTGCGTTATGTGCTCACATTGTTTTGCTGCTGCATATGCAGCACAATGTCGTTGTCGTCAAGTTGATCGTTCTCGTTCGGGTGCAAAGATTTTCTTGAGGCATCCTCACGTTCCACATGTTTACATTAGGCATGAACACAGCAGTCGCTGAATAGTAGCCTGCTAGCACAAGTGTGGCCAAAAGGCAATAACGACTATGATGTCAATAATGTAGCTGTGCCAACTCTGAGCTCAGCAACAATGGTGGCACCTGGAAGTTGGGACTCAGCTTCAGGTCACTTTCAGTGATTCAATGATGCGAGATGCGGCATATAGCACTGGATCAGGCACGCAAACTTTAATATTCATATAATTGGCCGTCTGAGCTATAATTGTTCATCCAATTTGTAGATATATGTACGTTCAAGGGAATCAATGTCGCAGGCTATATTAGCCACAAAATTTTGTGTCAGTACTCTTTATGGTATTTTGCTTTATGTTTTAACTTACAGTTAAACAAATAAGTAAAGAATTTAGTAAGTTATAGTAATCATATAAATAAATTCGAGGATGCAAAAATATTTGTCTTGTTTTTCTCAAATGTCCCGACACTACACTACATACAACACTTCCACCCGTTTAGTCTACTGTACTTTCGAAGCACCATTAAATTGCCCATTGTGGCATATTCATATTTTTTACAGTATAAACTGGTATAGTCTTATTACCATGCTTAGACAAACATTACTTATGACCCTTACTACTTGCCCAAAGCAACCGGGGTCGTTCTGCAGAAGGGCTTGTTTTTGGGCTAGTTTATGCTTGCTTAAAATTATATGGTGTGTGGTTTTGTGTGACTGTTCTCTCTTTTTTGCACTATATTATGATTTTCAGCAGGACCGGAGAATTCCTCGGACTCCTATCAACTATATTACCCACGAACCCTTAACTCCTGTATGGCCCATATACCCCATAAGCCCTGTATCTTCCATATGGCCCGTCATCCCTGTATCCCCCATATGGCCCATAATCCCTGTATCACCTGTATCCAATAACATCGTATGATACGGGTCCTATCTGCACAGGATTTTTCAGTAGGGTACGCTCGCACATCGCCCTCGTGGCCTAACGAATAAGGCATCGGTCTTCTAAATGGGGGAATCGGGTTCGAGTCCCACCGAGGGTGGGTTATCCTTTTTCATTACCAAAGGGTTTCTGCTACAGTTTTCTTGCTTGAACAAAAGAATGTGCATTTTCCTTTCTCCTATATTAATTTCTATGGTGTGTTCTACTGTAACCTAAAGTAAAAGCGCTAATGAAAGGAACGTTAGTGCATCAATCGCACGTTGCTCTCGTGGCCTAACGGATAAGGCATTGGTTTTCTTAACCGGGGATCGCGGGTTCGAGTCCCACCGAGTGTGGGTTATTCTTTTTCATTACCAAAGGGTTTGTGCTACAGTTTTCTGGCTTGAAGCAAATCATATGCGTTTCCTTTTCCCCTATATTCCTTTCGATGGTGTGTTCTACAGTAACCTAGAGTAAAAGTGCTATTGAAAGGAACGCCAGTGTATCGCTCGCACACCGCCCTCGTGGCCTAACGGATAAGGCATCGGTCTCCTAAACCGGGGATTGCGGGTTCGAGTCCCGCCAAGGGTGGGTTATTCTTTTTCATTAACAAAGGGTTTCTGCTACAGTTTTCTTGTTTGAAGCAAAGCATATGCGCTCCTTTTCTCCTATATTCCTTTCGATGGTGTGTTTTACTGTAACCTAGAGTAAACGTGCTAATGAAAACAAGGCTAGTGCAACGCTCGCACATCGCCCTCGTGGCCTAACGAATAAGGCATCGGTCTTCTAAACGGGGGATCGCGGGTTCGAGTCCCGCCGAGGGTGGGTTATCTTTTTTCCTTAACAAAGGGTTTCTGCTACAGCTTTCTTGCTTGAACCAAAGCATGTGCATTTCCCTTTCTCCTATATAAATTTAATTTCGATGGTGTGTTCTACTGTCCTCTAAAGTAAAAGCGCTAATGAAAGGAACGCCAGTGCATCGCTCGCACATTGCCCTCGTAGCCTAACAAATAAGGCATCGGTCTTCTAAACCGGGGATTGCGGGTGCGAGTGCCGCCGAGGGTGGGTTATCCGTTTTCATTACCACGGGTTTGTGGTACAGTTTTCTTGCTGGAAGCAAATCATATGCGTTTCCTTTTCCCCTATATTCCTTTTAAAGGTGTGTTCTACAGTAACCTAGAGTAAAAGTGCTAATGAAAGGAACGGCAGTGCATCGCTCGCACATCGCCCTCGTGGCCTAACGGATAAGGCATCGGTCTCCTAAACCAGGGACTGCGGGTTCGAGTCCCGCCGAGGGTTGGTTATCCTTTTTCATTAACAAAGGGTTTTGCTAGTTTTCTCGCTTGAACCAAAGCAAGTGCATTTCCCTTTTTCCTATATTCCTTTCAATAGTGTGTTCTACTGCAACCTAGAGTAAAAGCGCTAATGAAAGGAACGCCAGTGCATCGCTCGCACATCGCCCTCTTGCCCTAACGGATAAGGCATCGGTCTCCTAAACCGGGATGGCGGGGTCGAGTCCCGCTGAGGGTGGGATATTCTTTTTCATTAACAAATGGTTTCTGCTACAGTTTTCTTGCTTGCAGGAAAGCAATTGCGTTTTCTTTTCCCCTATAATCCTTTCGATGGTGTGTTCTACTGAAACCTAGAGTAAAAGCGCTAATGAAAGGAACGCCAATGCATCGCCCGCACATCGCCCTCGTGGCCTAAAGGATAAGGCATCGGTCTCCTAAACCGGGGATTGCGGGTTCGAGTCCCGCCGAGGGTAGGTTATTTTTTTTTTAATCACCGAAAAGGTTTCTTCTACAGTTTTCTTGCTTGAAGCGAAGCTTATGCGCTTCTTTTCCCCTATATTTCTTTCGATGGTGTGTTCTACTGCAACCTAGAGTAAAAGCGCTAATGAAAGGAACGCCAGTGCATCGCTCGCACATCGCCCTCGTGGCCTAACAGATAAGGCATCGGTCTCCTAAACCGCGGATGGCGGGGTCGAGTCCCGCCGAGGGTGGGATATTCCTTTTCATTAACAAAGGGTTTCTGCTACAGTTTTCTTGCTTGCAGCAAAGCAAATGCGTTTTCTTTTCCCCTATATTCCTTTCGATGGTGTGATCTACTGCAACTTAGAGTAAAAGCGCTAATGAAAACAAGGCTAGTGCAACGCTCGCACATCGCCCTCGTGGCCTAACGAATAAGGCATCGGTCTTCTAAACGGGGGATCGCGGGTTCGAGTCCCGCCGAGGGTGGGTTATCTTTTTTCCTTAACAAAGGGTTTCTGCTACAGTTTTCTTGCTTGAACCAAAGCATGTGCATTTCTTTTTCTCCTATATAAATTTAATTTCGATGGTGTGGTCGACTGTCCTCTAAAGTAAAAGCGCTAATGAAAGGAACGCCAGTGCATCGCTCGCACATTGCCCTCGTAGCCTAACAAATAAGGCATCGGTCTTCTAAACCGGGGATTGCGGGTGCGAGTGCCGCCGAGGGTGGGTTATCCGTTTTCATTACCACGGGTTTGTGCTACAGTTTTCTTGCTTGAAGCAAATCATATGCGTTTCCTTTTCCCCTATATTCCTTTGGATGATGTGTTCTACTGTAACCTAGAGTAAACGCGCTAATGAAAAGAACGCTAGTGCATCGCTCGCACATCGCCCTCTTGGCCTAACGAATAAGGCATTGGTCTTCTAAACGGGGGATTGCGGGTTCGAGTCCCGCCGAGGGTTGGTTATCCTTTTTCATTAACAAAGGGTTTCTGCTACAGTTTTCTTGTTTGAAGCAAAGCATATGCGCTCCTTTTCTCCTATATTTCTTTTGATGGTGTGTTTTACTGTAACCTAAAGTAAAAGCGCTAATGAAAGGAACGCCAGTGCATCGCTCGCACATCGCCCTCGTGGCCTAACGGATAAGGCATCGGTCTCCTAAACCGGGGATTGCGGGTTCGAGTCCCACCGAGGGTGGGTTATCCTTTTTCATCAACAAAGGGTTTCTGCTACAGCTTTCTTGCTTGAAGAAAAGCATATGCGCTCCTTTTCTCCTATATTCCTTTCAATAGTGTGTTCTACTGCAACCTAGAGTAAAAGTGCTATTGAAAGGAACGCCAGTGTATCGCTCGCACACCGCCCTCGTGGCCTAAAGGATAAGGCATCGGTCTCCTAAACCGGGATGGCGGGGTCGAGTCCCGCCGAGGGTGGGTTATCTTTTTTCCTTAACAAAGGGTTTCTGCTACAGTTTTCTTGCTGGAAGCAAATCATATGCGTTTCCTTTTCCCCTATATTCCTTTCGATGGTGTGATCTACTGCAACTTAGAGTAAAAGCGCTAATGAAAGGAACGTTAGTGCATCAATCGCACGTTGCTCTCGTGGCCTAACGGATAAGGCATCGGTCTCCTAAACCAGGGACTGCGGGTTCGAGTCCCACCGAGGGTGGGTTATCTTTTTTCCTTAACAAAGGGTTTCTGCTACAGTTTTCTTGCTGGAAGCAAATCATATGCGTTTCCTTTTCCCCTATATTCCTTTCGATGGTGTGATCTACTGCAACTTAGAGTAAAAGCGCTAATGAAAGGAACGCCAGTGCATCGCTCGCACATCGCCCTCGTGGCCTAAAGGATAAGGCATCGGTCTTCTAAACCGGGGATTGCGGGTTCGAGTCCCGCCAAGGGTGGGTTATTCTTTTTCATTAACAAAGGGTTTCTGCTACAGTTTTCTTGCTTGCAGGAAAGCAATTGCGTTTTCTTTTCCCCTATAATCCTTTCGATGGTGTGTTCTACAGTAACCTAGAGTAAACGTGCTAATGAAAACAAGGCTAGTGCAACGCTCGCACATCGCCCTCTTGCCCTAAAAAAAAACAAATTTTATTCTTGGTGAGGCGGAATTTGTACCCACTTCCTATAGTCAAACCACAATACTTTGAGCCAAATGATGTTCAGCATATTAACAAGGCCTAACATCTTTTTGTAGTAATTATAGCAATGACTTGAAAAAGGAAATGAGACTTGAAAAGAAGGAATGAGATGACGTAAATAGGCAAAGAAATACGACAAAAAAGCAAACATAGCATACGCAGAAGTATGCACAAATAAAAGTAACTTTAAAAAAAAAGCATCTCTAAGAAAGAAAGAAAAAGGGAGCAAGCGGTAAGTAGAAAGAGACAGAGAAATCGAAGAAGGTATAAGAAAAGCAGAAAAATCAAGAACAACAAAGTGGTAGAAAAATAAAAATAATAAACCCAAAAATTATGCCGTTTTCCTCTAAGAGAAACATGTGCAGATGAGAAGAAGTGGGCGCTGACGCTTCAACTTGCGGTGATTTTAGCGCTCATAGTGGCGGTTTGCAGGAAATAAACCTGGGAGGTCGCAAAGCATGCAGTGATGGACCGGTGTTTTCTACTGGAAGATGCGAATTGCTGCTAATAGGCAGTGAAAGCGAGAAGACTGATTGGACACATAAACCTGCAATCCACCTAATTAACGTGCATGCTGTGAACGTTTGTGGTTCAACAACACACATGAGACATATGAGCCAAAAAAGTGCTTCTACTCGACGTGTGGTCGAGTGTTGCGGGCGGCAGAGATGGTGCTGGGTGGAGAAGTGTGTTTTGACCGTGCAGAGGAGCCGGCAGCTGCGCCGCTGCAGCGAGCGTGCTGCTCTTGAGAGAGAGACGGACATCAGCGTGTTTGGTGCGGGGAGCGTGACGCCAATGCACCGCTGCGGCGTGACCTACTTGGCGCATCTCCAGCACCTGCGGCGAGGGGAACACGTTGCGGTGCATTCGTACGCACGCACGGACGTGCGGCGTTAAATTTGTGAGAGAAAAATGCTTCGCATCTAAAAAGAGAGAAAAGTGACAGGAGAAAGGAGACTACAAGAAAGAATGTTGACACGAAAGAACGACATACCTTACACGAAACAAAGAATGCCACCCGGCTCCGTACCTTCTTCAGGGTTAGCACTACTAGTGCGAAAGTGACTTAACTTTTTCAAGGGTAAAGAGAAGGGCAAGCCCGACACAGATCAAAGTGTCGTAGCGACCCACTAGAGGTGTGAAGCCTAAAGACAGAGCAGTGCAGCGTGGCCTCTCGTATTGACCGTGGCACCGAGTGCCTTAGTCTCTGTGTTCCAAGAGCGGCGTTCAAAGCCGCGTGACGGGGAAAAGTATTTGGGGAAGCTCGGAGCAGTCAACTCTAATTGTCAAGAAACTGTAGCCGACATGGGCTGCTGGAAAATTTTTGGCTGCAACCGTTTCTTCAGGCATCAGGATGGAGCGAGACTTGCTGCTCTACTACGGTTCGACAACGTTTCGGGACAGCGTATGCGAGTAGTTTCACCAACGGAAATTTCGTAAGGAACGACTTAAATCGCAGCACTCAGATTGTGACATCGTTATGTCACGCAAGAAGGAATCACTTGCCTTGGTATCTTGCTCTTTCGTGCGTTTCAGGGCTGACATCAGGGGGTGTACGTAAAAGACTAACTGAATAGTTTTATAATTTGATAAGCAAGGCATGGGGTCTCCGACCTGCATTGGGTAGGCTGCTCCTCAATTCACAGAAGAAGCAAAGTGTGAGAGTTGGTTGAAAGACAGGTGGCATTCAGTCTAGTGTACTAGCACCGTCAGTCGAATCAAACATACGCAAGACGCTGGCCTTGCGGTGTCTTAGCCTGCACTGTGTCCGCGATATCCAGCTGGCAATGCATGACCCCTTAGGTACTTACGCTATTTTTTGTCTTTTATGGCTGGGGTCAACACGCATGCGAAAACTCAGGACTGGTAGTGCTCTACGCATGCGCACTTGCCGCTCCCATGTTGCTGCAGCCCCCACGCCTTTAAATTCCACAGTTTAAAATGTCACCATTGAGGCTATGTGTCAAAATGACACGGTGGCGGAAGCGCTGTTTTGTGGCTCAAAGCAAAACTGACAAACTTACCACTTAAAATTGCTACTTCAGTACACGATAGTGAGTATGCCTTTTAAAATGCAGTTCGACAACACGAAGTATCAAAAAGACGTTCAAGTGAATGTTCACAAACTTACTTTGTGAGGGCCACCCAAGAAGAAGACAAAACGTCCGCTACCAAGGAGGGAGAGACGTCTTGATAGCTGCAAAGACAACAATACACTTTCGCAGACCTGAAGGAGGTCAACTGTAGCCAGGTGTGCTCAGATGTTTTAGGAGTTCATTTACTTTCGCAGAAAAAAATGTATTTTGCTTTACGAGTACCGACATCTACGAAACCACTCTTAGTCTCGCAAAAAACGTTGCAGTTTGCAGAAAGTTCGGAAGGCTCCACCCAGCAGAACAAATTTTCGCGAAATAAGCCAAACTTAATGTTTAATAAAATCTTACAAAACACGCATTGTAGCTGTAAGTCTAGTAATGTTTTTTGTTATACTACGCGTGACGTGTTTTTACAAAATGTTGTTTTTGAGCTTCGCAGCAGAGCTTTCATGAAAAAAAAATTGCAAGCAAGCCACATTGCTGCGTACATATGATAGTTCAGGTTTTCTTGCTGCACATCAACGGCCTTCAAAATTTTCCAAATTCTACAGATCATTGCCACACATAAGCTTAAAGTTGAGTGAAGTAAGGTCACCAGTATGAAAACAAAATGCAAACGTAAAATGCATAAGAGAAGTCATGTGTCTCTAAATGCAATACTTTTTTATAAAAAAATGCCACTTTCAATTCCGTGTATAGTTCACAGTATTAAAACTTAGTACGTAGAATATTTTACCAGTAAGAACACGCTGCCTTATTTTTGCAACATCGCAACTACAAAGCTCACAAGTTACAATATTTTAATATGTTTGAGCTTTCTGTTGAAAAGTCGCGATAGCGTAATTGGGCCTTTCGAGCATCGCTGTCTGAACTGTTAGCCTGCTTCTGGCCTCAGTCCATCCATCAACCATGTCGTAAGGAAACAAACGACTGTGCGTGCAACATTGGCCATTCTTAATTACTGTATCATCCTACTACAAGCACAGTTGTTTAATGCGCACTATGCGTTCGTAGAAAAACACGCGAACTTACGCAGCTGTTTTTTCTTTGTTCATGACTCTGCTGCTAAGTATGTATAATATGATAAAGTGCTTTGTAATCAGTGTACATTCAAAACACTCACTTCTTGCTCAATTCACTAGTTTCGATGACTGGCGTGGTTCGGTTCTGCCAAGCAATATATGATGTGTCATAATCAGACTTTGATTATCGATTGATATGTAGGGTTTAGCGCCCCAAAACCACAATATGATAATGAGATGCCGTAGTGGTGGGCGCTGGAAATCGCAACCACCTGCGGTTCCTTGACGTGCACGCAAATCTGAGCACACGGGCCTACAGCGTTTTTGCCTCCACCGAAAATGCAGCTGCCGCAGCTGGGATTTGATCCCGCGATCTGCGGGTCAGCAGTTGAGTGCCTTAGCCACTTCACCACCATGGCGGGGCATAAGCAGACTCTTTCCACTACATAATATTGACTGTGTTTTACAACAAATGTTTTTAAGAGATTGCAACAATAATACTATAGTTGTCCACCCCCACTGGTGTCCACAAGCGCTATCGCACGAAATAAAAACAAAATAAGAAAGAAATGTTTAGGAAGAAACTAGGGTTAAACCTGGGTCCTCTTCATAGCCGCCCAGTATTCTGCTACAGAATCATGTCGTTTTTGAATTTTTTTCAATAACTGGGCCGTGAAGAGGCTCAAAACTCCCGAGCACAAAAATCCTACAGAACCTTTATATCGGGAACGAGCCACGTTAGCATACACATTATAATGTGGTTGATGGTAAAATAACAACCAGGCGTCACAGCGTGCGAATTGTTTAACCAGGCATCACACACTTTGATTTTCATCACGAATGGGTCATTGAATGCTTCCAAACTATTACGAAAGGCTCAGCCATAATTGTTTATTGACATCAGCCACCAAATCATATAATAGAGCAGCGAGTACCTTGTCAGCTTACTTGTAATAGTAGTGCCAAGAGAGTTCGCAATGGGCTCAAGAAATGGCGCTTTTCTAGGTTTCACTATTCCTCCTGCGTTTTCTACACAGGCCTGTCGCGTTTGTTTAAAGAAGTTTAAACTAATATTGCGTGTCTGCGGTAGAACGCCTGTTTGCCAACACCAACGCCAATGCCGCGATTTCTGAAAAAACTAGCTCTTTACCGCTGTCACGCTTAAATTGACGCTAATACGCTACCACTTAACTTAGTGAGCATATAACTATAGTGGCCGTTACCATTATTTTTAGGCTTTAATCTGCTCTCCTGTTCACTAAGCATGAGATCGACAGAAAACATACGAAGAGCTGCTCTAAGGTACAAGCACATATACGGGTTTGAAATGGTCGTAGTATTCTTCACGCCAAAAGCAGTTATCAAAAAAAGTTCGTCGGAAAGAAGTCCCCACGCTTCAGAATGGGGAAAGTCGCAACAGGGCATACCCTTTTACATTCGTCCACGCCCATAGTCAGGATTTCTTACGGAGGGGGGGGGGGGGGAGATGAGGAGCAAGGACTAATTGTTCGAAAAAAAAACTTTTTCATTGCATGTAAAAAGAAAGTTGCCCGGGAATACAGGAAGTGCTCAATTATTAGAAGCCAATTGGATTTAGGTGGAATGCAGCATAAGAAGCAAGTTAATCGGCGATGGAAAGCAAACATTGACACTGCAGTAAAGCTAGAGCCCGTGAACCAGAAAAAATGCTGAATGCTTTCATACCAAATAATCTTGTTCAAGAAGGGCCACATAAAGTCAGAAACGGGTAAACGAGTGACAAGAAGTAAAAAAAAAGAGTTTGGGTAGACAAGTGAACCAGCCGAGCACTTATGATTGTGAGGCAAAAAAAAATTGGACGCTTTTTCTGCCGCACTTTTCACACTCTGTCTTAACAACAAACCTGTGAGAAGAACTAGAGCTTTTTTCCGGCAAGAATTATAAACAAAAAACGGCATTCATGAAAATGGCTTTATTTGGCAACAGAAAACTAAAACACGGATGCTTCCCTGACCCAAAAGAGTTAAAAAGGTAATTCATTTTAGCAAGCAGTTTTATTGAATGACATTGCGAATGGTTTTACCATATAGTAAAGGTCAATTGAAAAGAAAAACACAAACACGTACCCTGGTCGAAGAGAATGCTTCACGATACAGTATCATTGCGCTGCCGTTTCTTCGTAAACGGAGCGATGACTTAGTCAACAATGGCTTGTAACTTGTGAATAGACATTAGGCAAGTCTGTTGCTCAAGGGATAGCGTGGTTAGCTTGACCAGAAAAGACGTGTTTGATGATCTAGTGTGGTCAGTCGGACTGTTGAGAATTATCAATAGATCCCACCGTGGGTGCAGCAACAATTTTGGAAGACCATCACAGGGGAGATGTGATAACCTCCTACTGCAAAGGAGAACGCACCGTCAGCGCTGCTGTCTAAGTAGAATGAATCACCCAGCCGGTGAATATGAAAAGAGCTTCGTGCACACCAATGTAACTACATATATGAGGTGGAGCTCGTGGTGAACTAGCGATTTCTTTTGATTACAAAGTGACGTCTGAATCAACGCTTGTTTTTTTCTGAAAGTGACTGTTGGCGCAATTTTTCTGTAAATAATAAATATACAACGTATGAGCAAAGTAGCCTTACACGGCTGTGGAACCGAACCAACACACGCTTCAGCTACGATGACTTTTTTCGTTTACCAGTGTCAATATTATCGAATGCATCTAACCAGCGCCGATACGGCAGAACGAAAGCTTGAGAATAAGAAGCGACACATTATCTCACACAATGTTGGTGCGGTTTGTCTGTCCAAACGCACAGCGCACATCTATTCCTTCTATCACTTGGTACTAGCCATTAGCCATCAGCTCACCTTGATTCCTCTGGACAAGGCAGTCACTTCGAAGGTGCGCCGAGTGCAGGAAGCTGTCAGCAATCTGCATAAACGTGGTAGTAGCTGCTCTGCAATTTCGGGGTTCCGACTCAACCGAACCATATATACGTCCATACTGTCCTACCTTTAGTCACTTTCACACTGGCCAGAGGTGAGCAGTCACACAGTCCGCATAAAAGCGCTATCAGAAATATTCTGGGGCTTACAAAGCACTCACTGATCGATGCAATGTTAGCAGAGGCTAGAGTATGGCTGCTTTCTCTGAAGATGCTTTAACGAGCCCTGGGGCATACGACCCCCTTCACCATGCTCCAGATCAAAGGGCCCTGCTGGCCAGACTCCGCAGGAAGCCACCATCATCGAGCAGGAGGTATCTGTCAGGTGTATCAGTATATGATAACAGACCTACCCTTGGCAGTCGCCATGCCTCCACCACACCACCATCCTGCGGACTTCCACTTGTCGCTCGGCAATCTGATCATGCGGCGGACACCAGTTGCCACATTGCAACAGACAGCCGGCACAATTTTGACACTGGCGATCAGCCGACAATGTCGGCTCTCGTTCTCGGTGAGTGCTACCGCGGCAGGGCTACAGAATATTCACCAAACCACTGAAACCCTGACTGAGGACTCTCCTGAGCAACAAGTCACAGTTCCTTGCTACTCCAAGCCTGTGCATCACAGCTTCGTGCAGCAGCAACAATTCGGGCTTACGGCAGCCTCACTGAGGTCCAAGTTCTCCGCATTGGCTATAGCGGTGGTTTGCGTTTCATTATATCAGATGCCAGCACACCTTGGAATTATCGCAAATCAGCAAGTGGGCCCTTGCCACAACTGCCCATCAACCACGTGTATGGCTCGTTCGCACTGCGCATTCTGGCAGCCGAAGGCACACCGTGTCCGTTTCGCCACTGGTGAGATCTGTTGTAAGGGCCCTCTCCAGGCCGAACGCTCTCGGACCAATTTTTGCGGCGTCTGCCGCCGGATGGGTACACCGCGAAATAGTAGAACCGCTAGCCTGGTAATAAAAAAATGGCGGCCAAGTTTGAGTCGCTCGTCATGTCACAGCCAAGTAACGTGCGCTTAGCAGAAATGCCTATTCAATCGGTGCACAACCACCCCGTTCTATACGACAAACGGCACCCCACGCACAAGGACAGCTTGCTAAAAGACAACTTGTCTTTTAGCCAGCTGTGTTTTAGC